TCTGGATTAGCTAACATCTAGATTAGATTGAAATAGAGTAACCAGTTTGCTTTTTCAGTGCTCTTCCAGCAAGGTCATCATTCTCTTCCTGTCTTTCTATATATTTCCTCCATCTATTGAGAGATAGTTACGTTCTTCATTATGCAGAGAGCAGAACAACCATTTAATAACCGAGCAATGCTTCTCAAACAAGAGATTCACTAGCTGCAAATAAAACCTAGAATTTGCCTTTGGAAACCAGCTATTCTTATATAATGAGGCTTTACCTACTATTTTTCTACCTTTTTTAAGGGTTGCAGTATGAGAAAGTTTGTAGTGAAGAATTCACAACACAAAGTACCTTCACCTAATAAGATAATCAAAGTCAACAGGAAAGGTAGTATGCTGCCATGTGTGGCACAACAATAAGCCCCACAAGCTACATGTAATGCTGACTGTTACTGATGTTGTTAAAGCAGAGGTTGACATTCCTAGCAGAATCGACAGTTGCAAAAATCCAGATGGTTCTCCCTAATATCTAACACCTGTTAACATCATAACCATCTTGTTTTAACTTTAAATTACACATTTTCTTGCTTTCATTATCACCTAGGAACCCAACAGAAAGGCAACAGACTTTCAAGAGAGCAAGATGCACATGCAAGTGTTCTGCAGTTCAGAGATGTCATAAAGTTCCCAGGAGCATCTCTGTGAGACCTCAGGGGAAAAAAAAAAAAAAAACCAAACCTCTGGAAAAATTACAACTAAATTACAACTACCCACAAGGAAGACTTTGATTCTACCTGACAAAGAAAAGAAGTTCTTTTATCTAACCTCTTCTTGGCCTTTTAAAAGGGGTCATGGCCTGTGGTACCCTAGTTATCATGCCTACTGGGTTTATGCTGCAATCTAAATGACCTGGTTTGGGAACTCCCAGAAGCTGAACAGTGATTTAGAAGCCATTTTAACAGGTTTGAAACTTTCATTATATAAACTACTTCCTTTGAAGAGGAACATCAGTATTTCAGACATACATAAATTCTTCCTTTTTCCACTGAGTTAGGCTATTACTCAATCCAGAGTTATGAAATATTTTTTCCCAAATATAATACACTGTTAACACTGGGTTGCAGTAACTTTCATCCTTAAAGAATCTAGAACAGAATAAAGCCTATCAGACCATGCACTATTTTGATGAATATATATCAATTAGTTCAGGAAGTTTCTTAGCAAACCTTACTTATTCATTTAGCAATAAATGGTGGATCTGAGCTCTTCATTTAGAAGTTGATTTTTACACAGAGTTTCCTAAACATTATGAACACTTTATCACTTATCTCTGCTAAAACTCCTAACTACATCTATTTAGAAATTGATTTTTACACAGAATAAGTTTCCTAATATTTCTGAATACTTTACTGCTTAAAACTCCTAAAAATATTAGCCAGGTCTATCGCAGAGCACAATGGAATGAAATGTTTTCCTTGGCATCTGAGTGCACATACTCTGAATACTGCAGGGGATTTGAATGAATGATTTAGATTAATGTCCACTGGCAGATGACAACTCAGTTTATCAAAACTTTTGAGAAGTCAACATTAGTTTTTTCTCATTTTGGAGAAAACACAAAACTTTCTGAAATGAAGACTTGAGGCAACCAGGGTCACATTCCCATTTCTTCAGTAACACTTTCCAGATCACTTTATTTTGGGTAAATTAGGTCAGAACAGGAATTCACATGGAAGTCCCTTATGGGTCAGGTCAACATCCTAGTCACCATGCTGGAGTCTCTCTTACACACAGTGTTACTAGTATCCTTAATGTCTTTCCCAGATAATATTTTTGTGGATTTTTTTTTTACTAAAAATTAAAAACATTGAAGGAAATCCCTCAGCTGGCTTCAGTGGAACCAGGATTTTACCCTACAGTAACAGCTGCTTTCCACACAAGTAAAATATTCCTTGACACTTTATGAGTTTATTCTAGAAGCTTTAAATAAAACAGTCTCTTTTCCACAATTTTGCTGTACACTTTTTCAGTTATTATCTTCCCACTTCAGAATTATGTTATCTCTGCTAATTTATACAGACTTTGACACTGGACTCTTTACTCAAAGTTCTTACTCAAACAAACTACCCACCAAAGGGAGAAAATGGAATACTTGTACAAGTAAAAAATGTCAGACTAGGTCCTTAGTAAAGGATCTGAGGATTCTTTAGTGTGAAAGACACTGTTAATTTACTTCCACTATCATACACAAGTTCATCTTACCATGTTCTACCCAGAAGAAAAAATACTTTTAATCAAATAAAATGGAAAAGATGGCTTAGTTGTTGGTTTCTTTGTTTTTTTTCCACAGGGAGTGTGTATCAGCAGATGACATTTCTCAAAAGCACCAAATCACAGTAGATTAAGTCATTCCCAGCAAATCAGTACAAGCGTGAAGTTTTGAGATATGACAACTGAAGCCACACAGAATGACAAAAGGTCTTGACGTAAAGTCAGAGAGAGCACCACTGGACAGACAATGTCACCCTGGAGGTAAAACTATCTGCCTGGATTTCTGTAAGGCCTTTGACACAGTCCCCTACAGCATCCTTCTCTCTAAATTGCAGAGACCTGGATTTAATGGGTGGACTGTTGGTTGAATGAGGAATTGCTTAGATGGTCGCATCCAGATGGTAGTGGTCAACGGCTCAATGTCTAGATGGAGATCAATGATGAGCAGTGTCACCCAGGAGTCCATACTGAGACCAGTACTGTTTAATATCTTCATCAATGACATAGCGAGATCGAGTGCACCCTCAGCAAGGTTGGAGATGACACCAAACTGAGTGGTGTGGTTGACACACCTGAGGGACGGGATGCTGTCCAGAGGGACCTGGACAAGCTCAAGAAGTGGGCCCGTGTGAACCTCATGAGGTTCAACAAGGCCAAGTGCAGGGTCCTGCACCTGGGTCAGGGCAATCTCCAGTATCAATACAGACTGGGGGATGAAGGGATTGAGAGCAGCCCTGCCGAGAAGGACTTAGGGGTACTGGTGGATGAAAAGCCAGACATGAGCTGGCAATGTGCACTTGCTGCCCAGAAGGCCAACCGTATCCTGGGCTGCATCCAAAGCAGTGTGGCCAGCAGATCAAGGGAGGGGATTCTGCCCCTCTGCTCCGCTCTGATGTGACCCCACCTGGAGTCCTGCATCCAGCTCTGGAGCCCTCAGCACAGGAAAGACATGGACCTGTTTTGAGTGGGTCCAGAAGAGGGACACAAAAATGATCAGAGGGGTGGAACACCTCTCCTTTGAGGACAAGCTGAGAGGGTTGGGGTTTTTCAGCCTGGAGAAGAGAAGGCTCTGGGGAGACCTTATAGCAGCCTTCCAGTACTTAAAGGGGGCTTATAAGAAAGATGGGGACAGACTTTTCAGCAGGGCCTGATAAGGGGTAATGGTTTTAAACTGAAAGAGGGTAGATTTAGACTAGATATAAGGAAGAAATTCTTCACAATGAGAGTGGTGAAACAGTGGCACAGGTTGCCCAGAGAGGTGGTAGATGCCTCATCCCTGGAAACATTTCAGGTCAGGTTGGACGGGGCTCTGAGCAACCTGCTCTAGTTGAAGATGTCCCTGCTTGTTGCAGGGGGATGGGGTGGGGGCATGGGGCTGGACTAGATGACCTTTAAGGGTCCCTTCCAACCCAAACTATTCTATGATTCAGCCAGATATTTAAGTACATCTTCATAAAATCACTGCTTTTAATGATACTTAATAATAAACAACAAAAAAAACCAAAACACAGAGCATATAGTCATCACACACCTTTTTATCTGGCCCTAAGTACAGTTTAGGATAACATTTTGATCCTTCTGCTTCCATTGAAATCAATGGAAATCATTCATTCAGAGGCATAAGTATCTCCATGTGGCATATATTATACCATAAAAAAAAACCCCTATACTTGAGAGAAGGGGAAGATGGTGGAGTAATATTGTTCCTCAAGTCATATATATATAACAGAGAATAAATGGGACACTGGAGAAAGAACAAACTAACAGACCAAATTCAACCCTGCGCTGTGCAGCGTTATGAACTTGCCACAATGCTTTTAAGTACATTGGATAGAATTTCTGTTTTGCTGAGGATCCTTTACACAACTCCACACTGACTATTTATTTTTTTTCCTGGGGAAAATGCTACTGGTACACGTCAAAGGGAACTCTATTTGTAAGTCCTAGGAGAAAAAGCTTGTCATGCACACACTGAGCTCCAATATAAAGGATCACACGAGCTGTTCTGATAGGAGCACACATTAACAACCCACACATCTCTGAGTGCATTCCCCTTTCCTGTTGCAGTCAGCATGTGCCTTTCCCCCGCTCTCAGACACTTCTAAAATATTATCTTAGAGATGGAGAAAAACCTGTAGCTCAGATCCAGATGTCCCTGGCCCTTTGGAAAAAGACAGATAAGCATGGGCCTGAGTTGCAGAATGTGGTTATTTTTAACTCTGTTCACAGCATCTGCCTCAATCACTGCACAGATTTAAAATGCGTATTTGTTAGCACAGTGTCTAGTTACACAAAGTATTGCAATGGTAGTAACCAGGACAACAACATGGTTGTTTACACGATGAGGACAATTTTCACAAGAAGACAGGACAGATATTCAACATTTTTGAAGTCTGCCTAAAAATTTGCAGAAAACAGGAAAAATGCAGGAAATAGTTAATTTTTACCTATGTTTCTCAGATTTGTATTTGCAGTGCTATTATCCCACTCTCCCTGGCAGTAACTTTGCAAAATTTCACATAAAGGACAATTCATCTTTGCAATCTGAAATACTGCACTCAGATAATTTCAGAGACAGGCTGCTTACTAGGGGTGTTCGGACACCAGTGTAAGAGCCTGTATGACTGCAAGAGGCAAAAACCACTGACTCTAGGATTATCTCAAACATCCACAATTCAAAATATGCTCAAGCGCATAAGCAGAGAGCGGCCTGAAAAAAAAAGAGGAAACAAGAAACTTACGTCATGACCAGTGTCTCATCTCCAGGTTCACTAAGTAATCCATCTACAAAGACTGAAGTGCTGGTAAAATTATGTGTACTCCAAGTCTGGCCTTCATCTATGCTGAACCTGTAAAAAAGCAGAAATGGTTTTCATTTACAACTATTAGAAAGTGTATAATGAATTTGCCACAACACTGGAAATTATCAGGCAGATAAAAACTAAGATCTGTCAACAAACTATCTTGCTACCTTGTAGGTTCAAGAGCAAGTTAATTTCCACTTCATTCTTTCTAGTAGTCTCTGAGCTAGAGACTTATAAAGCAGAGGTCAGTGAAACATGAGAGGCAAAACAGGTCAATTGCTAAAACACATGGGAGGCGCAGTGACTACAGGCACCAAGGAGATGGTCCTTCACAGCTGCCACCATCTACTTAAAAATTTGCAGAAGATGCTGATGAATCAGCAAAACATATTTCAAATACTCTGTGCACCCAAAATTTATGATTCAAAGTCTCTTTTCTTCTGTACATTTCCTCTGGGTCTTTCGGATAGTAGGTTAATGACAGCTTTCATTCCAGCTAACCAAGTACATAGCCTAGTCCTTATTATTATGCAAAAATGAACGTAGTCACAAGTGATAAAAAACTCTTTTGTTTTTTATGCTGAAGGTGATAGTTTTGTATGCCATTACATAAGGTTATCATATTTTGCTTCACTGTCATGCAGTTTAAAACTT